GCACTAACACTTCGGGCGGACTACTTAAATAGGCAACCAAAAGTTGTATGTGTGACTAGTTGTACTCTCGTTATACTGATATAATATGTAAGCCAGTCTTCGGACGGCCTACCCGTTTAAACTAATAAAGTGCCAGGGGCCTAAGTGGTTACCTTAATATTAAAAAAAAATAAAAAAAAATATTTCTATATATATTCCGGGTTTCTCCCCTTGCAGTGTTACAGTTCCTAGACTACTGCACCTCCATTTGTGTATAAAGCATCACATGGCTACTTAGAGGTACCCATGTATAACTATCTAGCCACTAATTTATCTCCTCTTTGGCTTCCAACTTACTAGGAGGTTATCTACCGGATCAACAGAAGGCCGTACTCGCCTAATTAACCATAGCTGCCGCAACAAATTTGGACCGGCAGATCCTCAATTTTGATTGGCTAACGGCCGAGGATCTTCTAAATTTTGGCCCACATTACAAAATTGTTTACTAAATTCTGGCCAAAATTAACTTTTTAATTTTTTTATTACAAAAATAGAAATTTTTAAAAAATAAGCCCACATTATGGTAAAATTGACCCAGGAACAATTTTCACTTAATGGGCGGCTATGATTTCATTAGTAAAATTATGAGTAATTCCGGCCTAATTTTTTGATCGTCGCTCTTAGCCAATCAAAATCGAGAATCTGCCAGTCTAAATTTGTTGCAGCAGCTATGGTTAATTATTCATCTATTTACTGAGGCATTTGTCTCACTTATATGCCTCCCTCATCCAGACTTCGGTAATTTAATACTATAGCTTGACCTATACACTCGGGGTCAGAGCTAACTATTGAACCCCTTGTATTACTTACTTCTTGCTCTTATTAAGGTTCACAACAATCCCAATACCCACATTTGGTACTGTCTTCTTACCCGGATTCTTTATCAATCTCTTCCTTACTTCTAGCTAGCAACCTGGAAGAGTTGGTTTGCTCAGGCTTTAGGTACTTAAAGGATGCCCTCTCCTTGATACATACTTTTGAAGCATATGCTCTTTTCCTCCAGTGCAACAAAACCTGACGGTTCGGCTAGTATGTCCTCTACTATTAGGACCTGGTTGTTTGGTTCTCTGATCTTGGGCTCTGGTTCGAATTTAGCCCTTATATAGTACTGTCATAGATCATTGCTATTCTTTAGCTTGGGACTTCCCAAATAGGTTTTTAGTTATTCCAATTCCTCGGCTTTATTGCACTATTGCTTTTATTACTAGATAGTGTAACCGAAGTTATAGATTTATCTAAGATCCAACTGATAATCATAATCGTCAACTATAACACAAGTCTATTTTTCAAAATTTGTCGTCCATGGAATTGAAACTCTAGACCTGCCACTTGGAGAGGGTGACAACTAGACCACTACACTAAGTCGCTACACCTTTTAAATTATTTTTATCAAAATATTTGAAATATTTTATTTAATTTAGATTAAGCTATCTCAGTGAATATTGAACCAATTTTGATGATTTAACTACCATTATAACCAAAATAACATGCTGAATATTATTTATTATCAAAAATTACAATTTTTTTTAATAAATTTTGCTTTTATTTGCTTTTTACAATGTTTTGAATCATTTTATATCAAAATATTCGAAATAGAGTATTGCTAACTTTCACCTAGGTGACATTACCTAGTTGCATAAAAACCAATTAGATCACTAGATTTTGTGTAACCAAAACAAAGCAAAGAAAAGAAAAAATTTAAAAAAACTTTAATAACTCTAAATTTTATTATAAAAACTATATTTCAACTTCTAAGCAAAAGTTTTTAGCTTTGAATTTTATATATATAAATCCTCTTACTCAAACTCTAACCTAACTTTAGCTTATACCTAACCCTAATCTTAGCTACATGTAAATTTATTTTAATAAAAATTTTATAATACCGGGTGATATCACCATAGGTGAAAATTAGTTAAAATTTTCGAAATATTATATATAAATTTAGATTAAGCTATCTCGGCGAATATTGAACTAACACTACAAAAAAATGTGATTATATAAAATATAACTATAAAAGGTTTAACTATATATATAACTTAAAAGCTAGTTAGTTAAATCTGGTTTAATATTTTTATAATTATATATAAATAATATTTAGATATAATAATTAATACAGTATATTAAATTAATATTTACAAGGTTACAATCCTTTATGCAGTACTATATACAACGGTAGATATTTTAAATATATTTTAGTATATTTTATATTTGCATATTTTATTTTGTGTATATTTATCGAGTATTGAAGAGATAACAAGTTACGTACATAGGTTACTTATCAAAGGCTAATGCATTAGAACATACTGTATATATATATATAATAAGCCACTGATTTTGAATAAACATATATAATTTGTGTTTAATACAGTAATATTATAATACTAGTCGTTACAATAATCATTTCGATAAAGATAATAATTCCGACTACGTGTATAACGCGTGATAAAACAATAAATTTAATCCAGAAAAATAATAATAATTAAAAAAGTATTAAAAAGGTAATACGTATAATAATAGTAAAAGGCATAGAATCAATAATAATGACAATAAATACAACGTGCAAACTTTAATCATTACTAAACGTTAAAATTAGTGATGATAAGACGAGCACGTTTTGTATATCGATATTACATAAATTTTCACAAATTACATAAACTACTATGAGTTACATAAAACTATAGCGATAGAAATGGAATAATGCTTTATGGTAATTAATAAAGATTAGAAATGAATCAAAAAAAGTTATTAACCGTTCTAATGAATCAAAAGATTCACAAGTACAAAAAACATTCTTATCATCACTGATTCATGTTCATGACGAAATGTTGTAAAAGATTAGATCTAAAATAAAAATACATCAGATAAGATGGATCTCATCCCCATTGAAAACGTCATCAAATCTGCTTTATTGCTTGAATTAATACATTATTGCGATAAGGACTAATTATGACACTAGCTATATTAGTCTGTGCATACTTTGTTATCTACACTATTTTTGGGAATATCGATATACGTGCCTAGTTTGTTACTACGCTAACACTAATTTGTAATAGGTTTATAAAATTAAATATCATGTGATGATATAAAATATATACGTAATTTAGACTATTTCCATTTAAGGACGGAGTTTCAGATTGGATGAACTACTAGATAAAGTATACGTAACAAAAGTATATGTTACGAATTTAGAAAAGTATTATGTACAATAAGAAATCAATCTAATTAATTTTTGTTACTTTTACCTTTTTATTCTTTATTCTAATTATTATATTTTTATTACACTCTTTAAATGTTAACTAAATTTAGACTCATTCCTTTGCCTAAATTATAATCTACATAAGAATATATATATATATTTTTATTGGTTCTCTTTTGGACATTGGGTTAGATCAGTTTGATGAGCAATGGTTCTAGTAAATGGGTTAAACGAAGGGGTCGTCAACTTTGATTCAAGATCGTTGTTAATAATAAAAAAATAAAATTAATATGTATTAAGCATTAATTAATTTTTTATGAATTAAACTTTTTATAGAAACATAAAAAAGAGATAATAATATCATTACTATAAAAATATTGTTAAATACATTTAATTTCAAAAATAAAAAGAATTTTTTTTTGTTTCTTTTATACGGTTTAATAATTCAAAAAACGGATCAAGAGATGAAATTAAAATCAATCACAACATTATTTTTAATAATCTTTCTTTATATTCTAATCGTTCATCCTAACATTGGATTATCTCAAAGATCAACGATAAAAAAGAAATTGAGTAAAAGAGATGCATACAAAGAAAAATATATTAGATTAAAAGGTTCAAATTGTAAACTTTCGGGAATGATTAAATTCAGTCCAAGACATAATACTGATGAACTCTTTGGAATAATTATGTTTAAAGAAGTTATACTAGATGATGATCTGCAAACACAGATTGATGGATTTCTCACGACACCTATTGGAATTGATGGATTAAAGACAGAAGAAGGAAAATATGTTTATACGGCAGGAATTTTTAAAGAAAATGAAAAGATTTATGACATAACCGAACCATTATTTCGAGGAGCAGTAGAATTAGTCACAAAAGTACCTAAAACAGTGAATTTGACAATTTGTGGAGAAAATTCAATAATTGGAAAAACATTGGTAATTAAAAAAGATGATAAAGAAATAGTAGTAGCAGATATTACAGGATTAAAACCATTTTAATCAATTAATCAATTAATCAATTAATCATAATTAAAAACTTAGGAGAAACACAAGTATGTGTTTTTAATATGTCCTTGTGACAAATCATGAGCGATTTCATAAACAAATATGTAAATTACATAATAATTAAATGTTATTATTATCCTATATTAAACATTATTATTAGTGTATTGCAGATTATGATTCCTCCCGAAATTGCCAGAAATATGCAACGGATTTTCGATTGCCGAGAAGAATTTTAAATTATATAGTGCAGTACTGCAGTAGTGGTTAACTAAATAACTAATAAATATTAAATATATATAAATAAATATATATATAAATAAATAAATAGAATAATGATAAATGAAAATAATAATATAATTATTAATTAAATTATAAATTAAAATAAATAGGATAATAAATAAATCGAATAGATCTAACTATATAGATATAAAAGTTTTAGTAATGCTGTAATGATCAACATACATACATAAATGCTTCTGAAAATTTAGTAGAATGTTTGTTGTCATCATATGTACAAAGTTTTCTGGGTGCATGTGCCCGTTCCTAAGGACTTTTCTGTACTTCATTATTGTAATTAAAGGAACGAATTCTTTGTGAACCTATAAATTTTTATTTTAATTCTAATAAATTTTATTATATTTTATTATATTATATTATTCTCTATTATTCTCTATTATTCTCTTATTCTATAATTTTTTTTTATACATATAAAATTTTGTGCATAATCAAACATGTTTCATACGAAAATATACGAAAAAGATATTTTTATTTTCTCACGTAAACCAAAAAAATCATTTGATCATTTGAATCATTTGACCAAACCCTACTTTAATAACTATAATTTATTAATCGAGATTTTTTTTGTTTACCCCACAAAAAAAAAACAAGTACCCCACCCTTTGGCGTATTTCCTGATTTACTTTTTTAAACCTTTAAAGTCAATCGATCATAAGGCGAAAAGATTTACCAAAATTTCTTCTAATTTTGTTTAAAGATAACAAAACGAATGCGTGCAAATAGCATGAAAGCAATAGTACAGTAGTTACAGTACTATAGTAGTCACTGTAAAGTTTACTAAATTTGATTTACACTATCTCTACTACTGTTAGATACTGTTGTACTTAAAGGATATAAGATAAAGCCTGGCGTAAAAAAGTTCTTTTTTAATACAGTTAATACAATTAATACAGTTAATACAGTAAATACAGTAAATACAGTAAATACAGTAAAGAATAAAAGGTGAATATTTGATGATCTTTTTCTTCATTTAGAATTTTTAAATTTCTCATAGTCGCTTACCTGATTCAGTGAATTAAATTCGGTGAACTCCAAGAAAGTTTCTATCTCTATATGAAAAAAAAAATTCTTTTTTCATTCTAAAAATGTACATCAAAAAAAAAAAAGTTTTTATGTATGATCGATTAACAATTTTTCATAATGGACTTAATCATTTCTATTGTTTTTAAAAAGACAAAACAAAGGAGATGATAGGTTTCATAAAAAAAATTATATAATAAAAATTATGATAATGATAAGAAATTATATAATTATAATCATTATTAGTGGTAATTATAATAAATTATGTGATTTTAATGATCAAATATATCGATCGATTTTAGCATTTATTGATCGGCTATTTTATTCCGAAAAAGAACGACAAAACATATCTGATATATATGCATGTATGTATGCATGTATGCATGTATGTATATATGTATGTATGTATAATGTATAGTATAGTATATAGGTATTTCATTCACAAGCCACAAAACGTAAAGTTCGGAGGTGTTTTTTATAACATAAAGTAAAAAAAAAGTACCAATCAAAATAACGCACGTACGATCAAAATCATACAGACATGCAAAATACGCGCATTAAGTAACATCAATAATACATAATAGCGCCAGACTTATACGCCATGCACGAATAGTAATGTTATACTGAAATGTTTTATCAACTTCGTACTATTTCGTACTATGCAAGACAATGTCGTGTAAAACATATCGATATAAAAAAAAACTATAAGTATTCAATTTATTATGCATCAAAAAGTATTACTTAAATAGCAGTTGATAATTGGTACTCGAGATTACACATTATGCACTGTTTACATGTTTTTTACATGTTTTTTAAATGTCATTATTATTTTCGCATATACACACCTCTGAAAATTTAGGAGGGAATTTGAGATCAGTGGTTTAAAACAAATTTTCTAAAAGGAAATTTTAAAAGATCAGCGATCTCTTGATTAACATTAGCATTTTTTCGATCATTAGCATCTAGCATCTAGTTCACTATATACTATATTCATTAAATTTCTTAAAATTTCTTTCATAATTTACAATATTTTCATTATTTTCATTATTTAAAAATTGTTTAAATTCAAATTTCATTATTTAAAAATTGTTTAAATTCAAATTTCATTGTTATCAAATATATTAACCAAATTTTTCTCTGGCAAAAAATCTGATTCTTCGATCTGTTTATTTGACAAATTGAAACAAATTCGGACAAAATATAAAAATATACAAAAGATGATATAAATAATAAATAAATCAAAAGAAAAAAAAAAAAGATAAAAGAATATAAAAGAAAAAAAAAAAAATTGGCAAAACTAAAAATGGCAAGATTGGCAAAATCTGAATATAACGTAAAAAAAAATTGGCAAAATCGGATAAAAAAAAAAGAGGACCGAAAAGTAATTGGCAAAATCTGAAAAAATATGACAAACGAAATTGGCAAAATCTGAATATATAGTAAAATATAAAAAAAAATAAAAAAAAATCGATAATTGGCAAAATCTGAATATGACAAGCAAATTGGCAAAATCTGAATACATGAAAATATATATAAAAAAAAAATTGGCAAAATCTGAACATGACAAACAAAAGGTGGCAAAATCTGAATATTGTAGGCACTAAATCGTGAACAGTTTCGAAAATATATACGCAAAAGGATAAATCGTGAAATTGTCGTCGCTTAATTAAAATCGAATGGCGGCTAATAGGAATTAATAGAAACCAAAAAAAAAAAAGGTCATAAAAAATTTACAAATGATGATGGATGAATTGGAAATTGGTAACAGAAATCACAAACACAAACAAAAAAATTTCGAATTGATAAAATGGTCGAAAAAAATGAATAAAATTTGAGGAAAGGAAATCACAAACACAAACAAAAAAAATTTCGATAGGAAATAAATATGGTTTTGAATAATATCTTAACACGTTTTTGGTGTATCAAGACTTAAAACTAATCAATAGTTTTAAAAATCATTAAAAAACGGGCATAAAATTGTCATAAAATGTTTCGGGTATATCAAAAAATCTTACAAGAATAGTTGTGGAGTTGTAAATAAGAGAATTTAACTTATTCACCTTCAAACTCACACGAACGTAAAATTGGAAAGAAAAGAAAATCTTCAAAAAAAAAATTGCTCAAACTAGAATAGTGGGTTCACAATAGTGGGTTCACACTAGTGCTTCACTCACCCACAAATTCACAAAGGAGGAAACTAGAAAACAAAATTTCCAGTCGCAAGAAAAAAATGAAAAATCACATGCTGCAAAATACCAAAGAAACCTAGCTCCGTGTGCCGGTGCGCTCTTCGTCGGTTTCACATCGAATTCAGAATAGCACCGTATGCGAGCTTTATAACTTCATCGTACAGATAAAAAATAAATTTTGATAATAGATAGAGGAGTAATGTGTTGGAGTGATGATTATGAATGATTATGATTGGTTATGATTGATTATGATTGATTATGAATGATGTGTAAAAAAGAAGGTAATCATATAATATACGGAGTATATATATATGTTATATATATGTTATATAGCGGAAATATTTATTTTTCATCAAATTACTTAGGTGTAGGCCTTTGGCAGTGACCTGCTATCGAAATTGTCATCGATATGTCCTTAGGAACGTTTTACGGCAGTGACCAGCTTCAATAATCTCAGAGGAATCTTGTAGTGTGACTCTACACTTGTTTAATGTGTGGAGATTTTGGTTCCTGGTTAACACGGCCGATGTGAATGTGTGCGTAAATGCGTGTGGGAAACTTTTTCTTGAGTTTTCTTTTTCATTTCTCAAATAATACGCCGGTAAGTCGAGGTGCAACGTGGTGGTGGTGGTGCATAATTGAAAGTTTTTTAAGAAAAACCTTTCGTGTGACGTTAACTGAGGTGAGATTTTTTTCTTTGTAATTCTTTACAAAGAAATGAGATGATAATATCGATGTATACTAACGATATACGTTAGAATACGTTTTAAGTTAGGTTCTAATCGCGCACGCATAACGTCTGCGTGGAATAAGAAAATAAACGAATAGGCTATCGAAGGTAATAAAACACAAACACAAACATCTTTTTTTTTTGAGGGGAATAATATAAAAGTATCTTTAGATAAAAATACTAATAATAAAAAGCGATAGAATGGATAATAAAGTGGTAATGGTAAAAAAACCAGGGCTTATAACTCAAGGTTTTATACTAAATCATTTACCACATTTTGAAAAAAGTGCGAAAGTGATCATTTAGTTAAAAAGACTCATCTTGAATAATCGTGGTATATATATTAATAATAATATAATACCAACGAAGAAGGGTAACTAAGAATAATACACAAGAATAAGCACAAGACTACAAAAGTGCGAAGGAATAAATACATAGTACATGACATCCTATTTTATGAAAAAAAACATCCATAGCAAACCCATTTTTTCATTATGTCTAAACCCATTAATATATATAAGACCGTTAAAAAAAAATAGATATATGATATTAAATAAATAAATAAATAAATAAATGTAAATAAATAAGAAAGTGGGTTTCAAAAGGCTTTCGCCTTTTTGATTTTTGGAAGAAGAAAAAGTTGGCCCTTTTATATGTTTTCAAGCTTTAAATTCGGCAATGACAAGTCAAATAATAAATGAAATGTACTGTACATACATATAGTACATACATTAGTTAGTACATATATTAGTTAGTACATACATTAGTTAGTACATACATTAGTTAGTACATACATTACTGCATTAGCACACACATTTAGTACACATATTAGTTCGTACATAACATACATGCGTACGTACATACGTACATCATAACATTTGGTACTATATTTACCACAATGGCGTGCGTGGCGTGCCAATGGATGCCCGCAGAGAAGCCGAAGTGACACAATCTTTTTTTATAATTTCGTGTTTGAAACTGAGTTACTCAAGTAGTCGAATATTTGATTGGCTAATGATTACAAGATTACAAGATAAAAAAAAAATCTAATAATCCTTTTTACCTGTAATATTCTTTATATTCTTTTAGTAATATCCTTTTTAATATCTTTTTTTAATCCTTTAATGGATATTTTCATGAAATACTTTCATGACTTAATCACATGATAAAAAAAAAATCGGAGATGATGGTCTGAGAGCCTATTACATTTACTAAATTTATTAAAGTAAAAAAAAATCATGGCTAAAATCAGTATACAGGCGTGTGATTTTAACAAATTTAGTAAACTACAGTAATAACTTTAATTGGAAATCTGTAACTTTTCTACTTAGATTTGTCATTATACTAATAAAGTAATTTATAGGTATTTTACCATAATAAACATTCGGATTTCGGAGTAAATAGATAAATTTATGTATTTTGTATGACAATCTTTTTTTAGATATTATAAAAAAAAGGCTTAAATAAGAAATAAATCTTTGTTAAAAAGAAACTAAAATAGGGATTAAAAAATCTACATAGAACGACCTGATACATACTGACATAACCTGACATAACCTGACATAATGATAGTATACTTCCTTTTTTTTAAAACAAAGTTAGAAGTAAATGCAATACGGTAAGTAAATACAGTAAGTAAATGTAGTTATAAAATAATAAAATAATAAATATAGTAAGTAAAAAAGTCGAAGTAGAAAAATTGAAACCTGTTTAAAGTAAGTTACAGAAATTTTTGAAATGTTACAAAAAGTTTCCCCGTTCTCTCACTGATCACGCTATGGCACAGGTGTATACATGCATTTTAATGCACTGCAATAATTAATAGAAAGAATCATCATTGGACAAAAGGGCAGCGACTAATTATGACTAGTCAATATCTAAGCAGGATAACAAAACAATTACTGAAACAAGTTTAAAGGACTAATAAAATTGATACGTATGCACTGTATGTACTTTATGTACTTTATGAAAAGGTAATAAATGTAACTAAATGCATGTCGAAACAACGACATCAAAAAAATTTCGTCCTACAGATCATGAAATCAAGAAATCGTTGTCTTCTTATGCATTGCAGGATAAAAATTTGCGGGAACTCTATCTCGTACATTCTCATTTGTATATATTCGTTTATATTCGTTTATATTCGTTTATATTCGTTTATATTTTCGTAAACATTGTCTTGTCTGTTGTCTATATAGGTTGATATTGTATGTATGTATGCGTTTTAAAAAAACTCTCATTAAAATTATTAAAAATCGATAATAAACATTTATTTGAAATGTTTGAGATTGTTAAATTTGAAAATTTATTATTAAGTTTTATAGTACAAGTTTTATGATTGTTAAATTTTATTTTTAGTATTTTTAGTATTTTTAGTAAGTTTGAGATTGTTAAAACTTATTTGAAAATTGTCATTGTTAAAAAATTTGACAATGTAAAATAATCTGCTAGATCGAAAACGAAAACAAAAGTTATAATAATAACTATATAGAAGTATTAACGTTATAAAAAAGAAATTTTAATACACTTACAAATCAAGCTAAATTAACGATTTAACGATATATCGATCATGCACATGCGCCATTGATTTGCCTCTGAAAATGTCAAATGAATGAATGAGGAATTTGAAAGATTCTTTTTGATAGTTTGGCGTTATTACATTATCGTATTTTGCCGAATTTCGACATTTACTTTTTTTTCTTTGTTGATATTTGATTTCTTTGTGATCCACTGATTCCGTCTGATTATTTGTCATATTTGATTACATATTAGATCAACAATGACAATTACTACATCACCTGACTACTTTATTACTTTATTTATTTTATTGGTTTACGTAATGTTATTACTAGTCCCTTCGGAGTTAAATTTTCCTTATACCTAAATGTACAAAAATTTTTGTTTTTTTTCGCGCTAATAACAAATTTATAATTATTGATATACTGTAGATATATGTAATTTATACGTACGTACGTAGATTTTCTTTTTTTAATAACTATATTAGGTATTTTGTGGGGAAATATCCTTGAACAATGAATTGTTAATTTAGTTTATCATAACCTAATAATTATATAAAGTTTAAAAAAGATATACTAAATTATATTTTATATATTTATATATATAAATATATATATATTTATATTAAAATATACGTATACATATATCTAATATATTTAAACCATTAAAATATTCTCATTGATTATTACAAAATTATACAATAATAAAATTAGACCATCCGTGAGCATCCATGAAAGTAACGATTGATACCTAGTAAAGGAAAATGTCAATCTGAAACAATGAAAAAACGGCGGTTGTGAAACAATAACACGGGAAAATTGATCCGGTTAAGCCCCTTCTTTCACCCCCAAACAGATGAGCAAATTATTTAATTTTTTGAAAAAAAATGTTTCACCTTTTATCTCGCGTGGTGAGTAATAAATGTATATCTTTATTCCGATGATCTATTTTTATTCATTTCAATTTATTTAGTTTATTTGCAAAGAATGACTATGACGATAGTAACACTTAAATCATTTTAAATCACTTAAATCACTTAAATCACTTAAATGATAAGTTACTGTTCAATTATTATTATTATTATTACAAGGTGAAAATATATAACCATACACTAATACTTTCATTCAAAGTAATTTCATTTTATTCGTAAATAAACAAATAATAAAATATTTCCACCAAAAAAAGTTAACTTGTCATTTTTACGTAAAAATATACGCCTGTACTGTATATGTTATACTGTGTTTACTATATGCTATGTTATATTTATATGCTATATTATATTTACATTTCCTACTTTTTTTTTACTATATTATTTTTATTATATACTAAGTTTACTACGTACATATACTACGGATATTACTACATATACACGGATATTACAACATATACTACGGATATTACATTAACCATATACTAAATATATAAATTCTTTTATTATTTACGTTACGTTTACTAAATGGTTACTATATATTTACTATATGTTTACTACATGTTACGTTTCAATGTTTATCGCGTGACCTGCTGTCAATTAGCCTACTAACTAAGTTTGAGGTTTAGATTAATTTTATCATTTACAAAATTTACAAAATTTACAAAATATATTTAGCCTTGATATTTATAGTACACATGTGTTAGATTGGTTATTGGCAAAAAAAAAATTTAATGCAGGTGACAAACAATAAAGTAAAACAAACAAAAAAAAATATTATCTACGAATGTACAAATATCTTACAAACGTACTTTGTACGGTACGAAAGTACAAGTATATTCGTATCGATATCTGGTATCTAAGATGCAAGTACAGTATAAAGATTCTAATGGAACCTGTTAAACTCAGATAAACGATATTTATTGTGTTACTAATGTTTACGAATAATTTTATTATAATAAATAAATACATTAAATTATCATTAATATTTCAAACCGTTTACAAAAATTGATTTACATGTAACGTATACTAAAAAAATATCAATTTTGTATTATCGAGATTTGGTTATTTTTACTTTTTTGTAAAATAAGAACCAATCAATTTTTCTTTAATTTGAAACCCATCTTAGTCTAACCGTTCTTGGTTATTAAATGATTAATTTTTTTTGGTCAATATTTTGATCACGAAAATTTTTAATAAAGCTTGTAAATTCTAGAATATTTTAAAAAGAATTTGAAAATTTATTTTTAAGGCTTTCAAATTCCTTCATTTCTATCCCTCATTTCTATTATTCGAAATATGGAACTTCATAGAAGTAGTTCATTGAAGTTTCCGCCCTACATACAGTACAATGGACTCTTGAGGATCAGGTATCCAGTAATACAACGTTTCTAATTATTATTTATTCCCCAATTTGTATTCATTAACATTCATTAACGATATTAATTATAGTTTTATAGATAAGTTTTATGAGCTTTATACTGTTATAGATAAGGTTTATTATAGATATAAATTCCGGAAACATTCAACTATTCAATTAGAATACTACTGTAACCAATAGGATAACTTGAACAACAAAATTTAATATTAATATGGCTAATTTGATTTACAAATACGGTCGTACTACATATATGTGGCCAATGTGGCTAATATGAGGCGAAATTCCTGTTATCATTATCGTGAACGGCCGATAAAGGGTATAAATATTTATAGCGATAACGTAAAAATTTTTATTCCAAATAAAATACTTTTATGTTATTGTCAATAAAAATATCGTAAGCTTCAAAGTGTTACCAAAATTTTTTTTCCGATTTTATTTAAATCTTATGTCATTTATTCTAAAAAAAAAAATTATTACTATTTAATCTCTACAATCCAGGCCAGGCTAGGCTAGACTTGAAAAACAGATATGTATTATAATAATTTGGCATTAAAAGTAATATCTTGTAATACTATAATATAAACAAAAATCTGAATTTTTTTTAATGACCTTTTGGTTATAAATAATGATAATGGTCGCGGAAGAGATCCGCGAATTCAAATGTACGACATATTCATTCCATGATTTGTTAAGAATGGTTAAATCATTTTCAATTGGGTTTTTAAATAGGAGGTTTGTTTAAACCACCCCCCATATCATCAAAAACAGATTCGTCGTTTACCAAAAATATCTGGGTTACACGATAGATAATCAATATCGAATATATCGAATATATCGATCGAATCAATGCTAAAAGACCAAAATTTGTTGAAAAAGATTTACTATTCTTGAAATATTAATAAAAACAAAATTATCAATTTTTCTCCTTAAATTTTGATATAATATTTGTCATCAAATTCAAGAACGGTTAATCTTTTTTGAAATCATACGATTTATAGCATTACTTTAAATCAACTCTCTAGTCCTAAAAGGTACATACAATAAGTACGGACGTACGTTAATTTTCGGATCCTTTCTTTTCCACCACTATACAATAAACCGATAATTGTTTGCTGTTTATAACGGCTAAAAAATTTATTAATTATATAATAATTAATTTAATTGTTAAAATTGTTAAAATTTATGATTTACATATTAAAGAAAAATATGTGTAGAAATTGTTATTTTTAGGCGAAATTATTAATATAAAAATTCCGGTTTACATTCCAATGTTTTTGTTTAACTACAGAACTACGTAATTAATAAAATTTTTATATCAGATATATAAACAGGGATGGTACAGACCGATCAATGGTCAATCTTTACCAAATTAATTTTGACCAAGGGTTTTTTTAATACGTACGGCCGTATGTACGGTGGTAATTATTTCCGATGTATCAGGAAAATTTTTATTTGAAAGGTGGAGTTTCTTGGCAGTTAAAAGTTAGCATTAAAAGTTAGCATTAAAAGTTAGCATTTCATAAAAATGAGTCCAATTGGACTTAACCAACATATGTTATTAATTTCCTGAAGATCCTAATTATGAAGCATTTTACGGAACACTAAATCAGGTACTAACTTTGAAAAATGATCGTAGGTACGTACTTAATTTTTTGCGGCAATAAAATAGATCGCTATGGCGTGTCTTTATTAAAAACAACGCCTCATACCTACGCTTACTAAAATTACTAATTTCAAAAAATTTATTACCTCATTTATTCTTTGAAGTTCCGTTGATTACATCATTAAAATTTTTAGACTAATTATTACATCATTTATTATATCAGCAATTATATTTTTTGATTTCGTCATTTGTCATTTGTTTGTAAATCTTATCGTCATGCGTCATGCGCGTAACATAGTCTCTGATTGGCGGATTCTATACTTATGCGCTATTTTATTCGTTTATCTTATTCGTTTATTATCCTATTCGTTATCTTGGCTTCAGGGGAAAATAATTGCAAAAATACAAAATATACTTGATAAATTTTTTATTAAAAAAATTTTTTTTTTGCTCGTTTCAAACGAACTTGACATTGCTTAATATACTGTATTATCATTACTCAAAAAAAAAAAAAAAAAAAGGTAAAAAAAAAAAAATTTAAAAACAAAATTAACACAATGCGTTAAGTAACTAACTAAAATACCCATTAAAAAAAAAAAAAATCAAGAAAATACAATAACAATCGTAATAAAAAAAAAAAAAAAAGAATTATGTACAAAATTGCCAAAAATAATTCAGTAAACCAAACTCTTCAGAAAAAAAAATAAAAAATAAAATTATCTACAAATTGTTTACGTGTTATAAAAGATTTTCTAGAATGGATATGTTAAATTAATTGAAAGAATTAAGAAAGTCCGTGTAGACCAAGACTTTCTTCTAATAAAGAAAATAACGCAAAAAATCAAACCAAAGAAATTTATCCATTTATACCAAACTATGATCCTCTCTTCTTGAAATTACTAAATTATTTTGAAAAAAAAAGAATGTAGTTATCATCATCATCATCATCATCGACAATCCTACCACTACAGTACACGTTTACCACATCCTACTACTTTCATCGCCACATCCTACTACTTTAATACCACATCCTACTACTTTCATCACCACATCCTACTACGTTCATCATACCACGTTCCAACATCATCCCAACTTACACCATCCAAAATTTCTTTTAAACTATTTTCATCCACGGAACTTTTTTGCCATCCACTTAATAGTCCTTCAGGTTCATTTGTAATACTTTCTATATCTTCTTCAGTAATTCCTACAGCATCGCCCATTGTTATACATCCTAAATGACCAGATTTTCTTCTTAATTGAGCCAAATATCTAAGAGATTCACATGTTACTAATTTACATCCAATAATAGTGAGACATATAAGTGAAAAACTATGATTTGCAATTGCTTCAATAGCACAATTTGTTATAGAGTTCATATATGATAAATCAAGTAATTGAAGATTTGGACATTGTTTTGCCAACATTATAATTGATTTATCAGTAATTTCATCATTATTTATAATATTATTATTATAATTATTTTGATGATGATGAAGAAGTGTAGGACTTGTAAGAGCAGAAGAATAAACGGCTTCTATAGGAGAAGGACGAGCTAAATTTAACCATTCAATATTATCTTTACATTTATTAGCAATTAATCTAACAGTAGAATCAGTAATTCTTCCAATACGAGCAATATCCAACCAACAAAGACGTGGACAATTCAAAATTAAAGCTTCAATTGATTGTTCAGTGATTCTTGGACAATCAGATAAACGTATTTGACGTAATCTTGGACAACCTTTTGAGATCTTTATAATACTTTTATCAGTAATTTTTCCACAATCGGCAACGTTTAAAGAAGTTAAAGCTTGACAATAATCGGATAACATCTTGATTCCAATATCAGTTATCTTACGACATCCACATAAATTAATAGACACCAAAGATGAAGCGCAATGATGAATTGAAAGAGATTCCAAAGAAGAATCTGTAATATGTATACAATTATTTAAGTTAATTACACGTAAATTAAAACAATAATAAGCTATAATTTGAATAGTAGAATCATTAACATAATCTGAACCAATAGATAAATCTAATAATTTAATAAATGAACCATAATTTTCGATAGGAAAATTTAAAGGAAGCCTAGTTTTTGAATTTAAAGCAGATTTAAATTTTGTAGATGATAAAGAAGAAGAAGAAGAGGAAGTTGATATTGTTGATAAGTTTGATAAATTTGATAAATAAGAAAGGGAATGAGAATTAGTTACTTCAATTAAATCTATAACGATATCCATTGAAGAAAAACGATTATAAATTTGAGGAGATTTATAAAGAAAAGGAATAACCATTAAATACCAAGGTTTACAAACAAAAAGGCAAGAATAAAAATCTTTTTTTGAAGGTAAGAATTCAAATATGCACAGCATTAATTCAGGAGGTAAATGTAAAATATTAGTTTTAATAGATTTAGGATTAATTATAATAGAATTAATATTATTATCAATTCGTGGGAATAATTGATGATATTTTGTAATTCTCACGGGTATAATATTAGAATCATTAGAATAATTTGAATCAGATGATATTTTTTCATCATGATCGTGAGAATTAAGATCTTTTCCTCTTGAAATAGCAGCAAGTTTACCGATTAATTTACGCCTTTGATCCTCAGAGAATTTCATACTTTTAGAAATTGTTACGTCATTAGTTGAAGTAGATGATGACATAGAAGATACGGTATTATGAAATTGTTGTTGTTGTCTTCTCTTTTTCCCATGACGAACTCTGTTGTTATTGTTGTTATTGTTGTTATTGTTTGATGATTGTAAAGAGCTATAGAGAATATGTTCAGGTACATTTTTATTGCTGCTTTTAGAATTTGAAAAATCTAGAAACTCTATTAGATATTCAATATTTTTTATAATTGTTCCTTTAAAAATACTAGCCAGTATTATTATAGGTCCACAAAATAAAAGAATTATTGCGCGTATAAAGGTTCGCATATTTGTTGAATATTTGTTGAATATTTTTGAATATTTTTTTGAATATTTTTGTTGTGTATGAGAAATAGTATGAGAATAATAGTATCGCGTTTTTTCGACCTTTTTGTATCTCGTGGTATCTCGTAATATCTCGTAATATCTCGTAATATCTCGTAATATCTCGTAGTATCTCGTATAGAAGTCAAAAACAAGCGTAAGGGATATCTATATATACACAATATATATCAAATATTATGTAATTGTCCTGCTTTTTTTTTTAAAAAAAAAAGAAATTATTTTGGCAGACTTTTCGCTTTGTACGTGGCGTGGAAAGTAAAAAAGCATGCAAATTTAATTATACTGTTATCAGATACTATTAAATAATTATCATGACGGGTAATATATTCGTGTTCATAAAAATATATATATATATTTATAATTTTTTTTTTTTTTTTTAAAATAAAATAAAAAAAATTTTTTTTAAAAAAAAAGAAAAGTTGTCAGACAATAAATTTAAGCACAGCTATATATATGTAAAATCGCATTTTTAATCTACAAACACATCAAATAAAAAAAGTATAGAACGAAAATTGATGATCGAATAATGGGTTTAGGATAATTTTTATATGATAAAAAATATAAAAAAAAATACAATTAATGTTTCCGTTATTGGAAACGGGGGCATTTTTATTTTTAAGTAATCTTTAACAAAAGGATTACTGGATTAAAAAAGATAAACGTTAAGAAACAAAAAATAAAAAAATAAAAATAAAAAAAATAAAATAAAATAATAATAATAATCACAATAGTAATCTGGCAGGAAAATGGAAAATAATAGATGAATTACAAAATATTACCTGTGGTTGTGTAGCGTGGCTATAAAAAAAAACAAGGAGAAGCCGGATTCTGTCAACGTGGTGCAGTTCCTGCGTTGAAAATTATAATTTTTAACAACTGACTACTGGACTAACTGACTCGGATTTCTGACACGGAAACCAAATAAACCGGATCATAACAAGAAATTTTGATAAATATACATATACTGATATACATATATCGACAGCTTCATCTTTTTTAAAAAAAAAGATAATGATAAAAATTTTTTTAAATATTATATTAAAAAATTTTTTTAAAGTTAGGTTTGATGTACTGCCTGTATATAATCAAGTATAATTTTTATACGTGCATTTAGTGGACCCTATAATAAACAGAATGGCAAATTTATAATACATAAAAATATATATATATCAATTTAACAATTAACAATTTAACAATTGATTAAATTTAATGAGTTGAAATATTTGAAATGTAGTGCTAGATAAGAAGCTAATCTAAATAAAATCACAAATATTAAAATTCAGATTCGAGGAGAATCTTCGCGGGGTATTATTACGCCTACTTTAATGAATACTTTAATGAATACTTTAATAAATACTAAATACTTTATTAATAAATACTTTAATAAATACTTTAATAAATACTTTAATGAAGTTATTACCTTTATCAATATGATTATGATAGGTAAACAGATAAGTTGTGATCATACGCACCATCGTTTGTTTTTAGTGGCATGATTAGGTTACTCTTGTGTCGCGTTTGAAATTATTGCACAGGAATTTCGTTTTGTTTATACGGTAATTCTTGGCGTAAGACATTAATCGTACGGATAATTTATCATGAAAGGCTTTAGTGGAATGCAAAAACGAATTTTTTTTTTTTTATTGACAATCAATTTGTGATAACTTTTTTTTTTTTACGATTTCAAATTGAAATAAATTAAAATGTATTATTTTAATAACAAATGGTACAACCGTTTTAAATATGATCATATTCTTGCGTAGAATTCTTTTCATTCCAAATCTTTATAGGTCCACAAAATCTTTATAGGCACGTCAACTCTTTATAGTTCGTCAAATCTAAGATAGAATAAATAGAATACTCATAATGCATTTAGAATAATTTAAACCTAAAAAATAAATAAATAAATAAAACTGTTCGTAGTTTATTATGATCTTATCGCGTGTATACATTACTGTATGTATGCTATCGAATCAAAATTATCAAATCAAAATTTATTAAAATTTATCAAAATTTGTAAAAATCGGTTCTTTTACATCCAATTCTCTCGTGAATAGACAGAAAAGTATAAATTCAATGCAAATGAGAAATAGTTGTTGGCTATAAAATTGACGTAATGAATATAATTTACCATGTCTGGTTTCATTCTATCTCCATATATGAAGAAATTTTACTATCTATTAATCCATATTGGGGTCTCTTGACGACAGCTTTCTATTTGATGAATGATTTCGCAGACAGAAAAGCCACAAAACAATACCTTTGAATTTTAAATAAAGTAAGCGTTCTAAAAAGAAACTTACACACAAATGTAATAATATATCAGTATATGCAATTTGGTTATCTTTTTTTCGGGTAAAGGATTTTCGGCATATCGATAATAGGGGAACGAACGTGAGGATGATGCATTTTGTTTTCTTAAATCAATTGCCTATCTTAAAAAATTTGCACTCCACATTTGTGTTTACATTCGTGCTTACATTCGTGTTTACATTCGTGTTTCTACTTCAGTACTCCATGTAAGAAAGATATCATTGATTAAACAAGAATTAACTTAAACAAGATTATTTTTTTAAAAAAAGAAAACTGTTTCCGATTCGCTATTTATTATCTGCACGAGTTTATCTTATTATCTGCACGAATCTCAATCTAAATCTCTCCAAATTAAAAGTTTTCACGTTCTAGTAAATAATATTTCTTGCGATCAAATGTATAAAGGCTGATGTTTACTTAGTATGCATAATGATGTCAGAAAAATGTCATAATTTATTGAATATTTGATTAACAGAATATTTGTAAACAAGACAATAAAAGAGGAAAGAAATTGATTATTGTAGTAATAATTACTAGATGCTAGGTTATTGTTGGACTTATTGAATCTAATAGCTATACTATTTCTAGAAAATACGTAGAAAGATACTTCTAGTAAAGTTTGTATTTTTTTTACGTTTAAACGCCCAAGTCATCAATTTCTCACCATCTATTTTTTTTAAAAAAAAAATTTATTTAAAATTATAATAAAAGAGTTCTAGACAAGCCACAAAAAAAAATCTTTTGTACCATTGTTCACAGTATTTGCAGACAGAAAGTTTAAATCATGTGAATTATAAAATGTATATAGAGTATCAACTTTTTTTTATTATTGATACCTGTTGAACTCATGACATTTACATTACATATTACCACACTTTTCGCACTATCCAGTATACTCGTAAATAATAATATACTGCACATTTATTAAACATTTATTATTTATTGTAATGCAAAAATATATACGTAAAATAATTTCGTAAATAATTTCGTAAATAATTTCGTAAATAATTTCGTAAATAATTTCGTAAAATAACGCCATGCGAATTATTACATTTCGCGAAAATATGCCTGCTAGAGATAAACTATATATCAAAGTATTTGGTTACTCCTTATTTCTAGTCAATCATATTGAAGGTTGTGTATTTCTGATATCATATATTATATCTTGATAACTTTATTATGTGTAACTTGTAAATAACTTGTAAATAGATAGTGGTGGCTTTGCTTTTTATTCAAATCTCTCACTTTCTATTTGTACATTCAATAATGATTCTGTTAAAATCAATAAAATTATTGTATATAAAAGTATTGTATATAAAGTTTTGATTTCAAACCAGTTTAACATATTGTTATACTATTTTCAAAGTTCTCAACATCTCTAACGCTAATCAAAAGTCAACCTTTTTTTGAAAGTTTAATGACACAGCATTTAATTCTATCACGTTTCAACTAATATTGATGGTGATCAATTCTAAATATTATTGAGACGCGTTAGGCGCATCGAAACTCTCTAAATTGCACCTATTACGTTATTTATGTATGCGCGTACGTACGTGCTTACGGCGTAGAAAATCTGCAAATATAATTATGCTTTCAAACCGCGAAATTTGTTCCACAATTCCTCAATTGATCCTGCTTATACGTACAGTACGTACATATGTACGTATCTACTTAACATCTAACATAAAACGTTGTTTCTGAATCTAAGAAACTGTTGGCCTTCAAACGTCGCGTACGTACGTACAAGAATAAATAAAGTCATAAGGCTCCCTTGTAATTTGATATTCATAAATTTCATACTAACTTTAAATAAACTTTAATGTTTCACAAAAACTCCTAATATAACACACATACTTACTAACGTTAAATATTGTAGATAAACCTGTCAAATTAAAATAATACATTTAATTAGTTTAGTAAATACTCAATAGTTATTGAAGTACAAAAAAAAAATTTTTTTTTCTTTCTAAAGTTTCTAAAGTCATTCTTATCTTTTACATAGTTCTTGATGATTTTTTTTTAACTGCAGGAACATTATTATGCATTTATGTGGAGAAACTTTACTAATAAATAGTTTTAATGTAATTTAAAACGTTCAAAACTCGGGGTTACTTTAACTGACGCATCAATAACACGTTGATATGTTGCACCAATAATTGGTGTAATTTTTTTTTCAATCAATGCATTTAAAAAATAATCATTCGTGCTGTGAAAATTTTTGTACTCAATTTACAGTTTGATCATTTTGTAACGATAAATTACTTAAATCGTTAAAGTTATAGACATATTAGGTTGTTCATTTAGAACCCTTGACAAGAGTTTTTTAGACTATCAATGCTAACTGATCATAACTGATTATAACTGATTATAACTGATCCTGTACTGGTTCAAAGTTAAAAAAAAATATTTACTTTAACGGAAAGAACCGAGTTTTGACATCTAACGCCATTAATTCTGGCATTAACCATTACCTACTATCGCTACTTCCTAAACCCACTATCTATTACCTCTAAATTTGGTTTTTATGCGCCAATTGTTTCCTGAATCTTACATGAACTGGAAGGTACCGTTATACACGCATATATAGCATGTATAACATGTATAACATGTATAGCATATATAGCATAGCATAGCATATATAGATAGCATAGCATGTATAGCATTTATAGCATGTATACAATGATCACGTTTTTTTACCGTAATCAAGTGGACCCGTACGCCAATGTTGAATAACAAATGATTTTTGTTTCCGAGTCACGAAATAAACCTGTATGAATTATTATTTTTTTTATTCTTTCAATCTATTATTGGCATAAACTTGATCTACAATGAATCAAGTGATTATGGCTTTTTAATATTCTTATGGTAATTTAAACAATATTCGAATTAAGAAAATTTGAAATCTTTACGTACAAACAAGATGTAAACAGGCTACATATTTTTTTTCTTCGATAAATATTAATGCATAAACTCATTACAATTGTTGGTCTATTTTATATTATACTTGTTATTTACCAATCAATATAATCAAATTCTGAAATTAAATTTAATCTCAACGAACGAAATTGAACGAAATGAAAATTAAAAGTGAATTCAATTTAACGATAAGTTTAAACAATATATATGCTCTCGCATTTCTCGCAATATAATAATACCAATGTGCACGCAATATAAAATTTCTTATTGTTTTTTTTATTGTTTCTAAAGGCCTCTATTTTTCTTTAAATGCAGTGATACATTTTAATCATGTACAAATAGCTGATAACTGATAACTGATACCTGATAATAGCAGATATACTTGCGTACGTAATTAATATTATCAACGCGTGTTAAATTATCTAATCAAAGATTGGACTGATAAATAATAAACCGTGTCGGGGCCACCTATTACAAGTATTAATTTTCAATTAAAACAATGAAATAAGTTTTTTTTTTTTAAAAAAAAAAAACGTGTAAAAAATTTTCTTTTCACGTTGATCATTAAAATAAAAACGGAAATTAAATTTTAATCTATTCATTTTTTTTTTTTTTTTAACAATACGTGTAATTCTTGTATTATACTTTTATCCAAAATGTGAAAATTTCCAGGATATATTTTAGTTGGCCATTACCAAATTTACTTTATACTGGCAATCATTTGCTGTGCGTTTCTTTAAGTTTAAAACATCTTATGATTCTATACTAAATAGTTAATTTATGCTTGGGAAATTTCTATACAATCTTGCTAAATTTATTTTTTCATTCATAATATGACTTTTTGGTGACGAATACTATCTTTTACCACTTTACACGTTTGTGTTTATATTCAATAAAGTTTGAGAAAAACCGTGCGTGGTCGGAGATCTTTTTTCATAGTAACTGGTGTCTTCTGGAAAATAATTTTGAAAATCTTTTCCAAAATTTTTTTATTCAGAAATTCTGATTTTTAATCATAAAGAGTTCTTATCATTAACGTTAGGATTTTCTTTAAGTAACACGTGAGTAAATCAGTCAATCGTAGTTTTATATATTATTAAACAGAATGTTTCTTCTTATAATATGTTAATGATATGTTAATAATATTGTTAAAAATAGCAATCTATCTTAAAATTACTGATCTTTCTTTTTTTCATTTGAATTAATAATTTAATGCATATGAACGGACCCTGATTTCACACTCTTAAAATATATAGAAAATTCTACATTCAAAATGATTTTATTTATTTGATTTATAATACTTGATTTAACTAGTAAATCTAGTAAATCGAAATCTCGATTCTATTTCAGTGACTAGTTACACACTATATCGGTTAATTAAGATCAAATGAAACTTTTTTTTTAAATATAATTATACACTCATTCTTATTTTTGTTATACAACAAATTTATTATGAAATTATTATCGCGATTATTGTTATCGCAATTAATATTATTGTAATTAAGTATTATTACAATTAGAGTATTGCTATTGCAATTAGTATTGCAAATTACAAATATTGCAAATTACAAATATTGCAATTAGTATTGCAAATCAATTCCCTTGATCCCCCGAATTCATTGTCTAATCTAAAATCTCCAAAATATTCTTACTACATACATTACGATCGATATCTATTTTTCTTTTGTAAAATCTTAAAATATTATTTAAATATTATCTGTGAATTCATAATATTCTATTGGGTGTCTATTTTAAAGTTCGTTTTTACTCGAATTTCAAAAAAATGTTCTATTATAAAATTAATTTATTGGTATAAAATTTCTTATCATGAAAAACGTTGACGTAGAAATTCCTAATCAGAAATTATAAGAATTATAAGAATTATAAGAATTATAAGAATTATAAGAATTATAAGAATTAACACGTAAATATACATTCTCTCAATATGCACGATAAAAAAAAAAACTCACATAAGTCATAAAAATTATGGCACTAGAAGGTGCAGCTCTGGCAACCGTAATTCCACAACCACGATAAAATCCAGGTATTCCATCAGCTCTATATAAATCTTTTGCAACTGTGAGAAATCCACGCTTGTTAAGCTTGTTAATAATTTTTCCCGTAGCTTGCATCATTTCCTCTTCAGTTTGCATCTGACTTTTAACAGAGTCTGCTGGAAATACTAAAATATTATAAGCCATTCCTGCGCATGCACCTGCCGTCATTAAATGTAATGGACTCATATCTGATTTCTTAACCGAATTTTTATCAACTCCTTTCATTTTAGCTCTTTGATTCATGAACAATTTTGAAACGAATTCATAGGTTCCAAACCATATAGCTCCACCACCAGTTTCTCTAATAAATGTTCCAGTATGTCCACGAAAAAATCCTGATATACCATGTTGCTTTAATGTATGTTTAATAACTGATAATGGACCGGTATATATTGTTGTTGATTTATTAGAAACGTTAAAAGTTGATGAATTATTATTATATGTAAAACTTTCTTGAACCTGTAATTTGCATTTAACTAATTCAACAGGAGTAAGCACAAATGAGGCTAATGCTCCAGATAATGCTCCCGCTAAACATAATTGACCCATGTCAAGCGATATTTCATCCATAAAATTTTTATTATATAATAGATGACGTTTATATGCTGGTGTTGTGTATTCTTTAATCATCATTTGAATATGATTATATACAAGGAATAACATTGCATTTTCAAGCATGGCTCCCACCATTGGAGACGACATACCCTAATTAAATAATACACAATTAATTAAATGTATAAATAGAGCTTATAATTTTTAATTAGGAAAACTCTGAGATTTATTAATTACCCTGTATAATCCCCAAAACCCTTCATGATTTATCGTCTGTTTAAAACAGTCTAAAGGTCCTTTAAATATCTTATGATCTAATGGTTGTGCTTGAAGACGTGTTTTGACTGTATCAAATGGGTATTCTACAAGTTTACCCGTCATTCCTGCAATCTATTCACACATAGTCAGAAAAAAACATAAGTGTGTATAATATTTATAAAGTTAAAATATTTAAAACTTACCGAACCAAAGATTACATTCTTAATACCTTGACCAGTTTTAGAATGAGTTTGCGCCAATTTCCCTTCGTGAGTTGGAATACCTAAATTTATCGCGGAAGTTGTTTCTTGAGTAAATTCCATAATAAATTGAAATCAATAAGTTTTTTAAAAAAAAAAAATGTACAAACAATTAAGTTAGGATCAAATATTCGTTTCCTCTAAATTCTAAACAATATCAATCAATCTGTATACTGGTAAGCTCGATCATCACCCTATCAGCAAATAATAGCAAATAATGCATATCACTCTCATGATGACGCATGATTACTTAATAAAGTTTAGTATAGACCCCTAATTGCACGTTCTATAACAATTTAATCTATTTTCCGGTCACGAGGGGTACACTTAGGGGTTTTCACTATTATAAAAATGTGAATGACAGCAATTGAGGTTCTGACTACGTAGTGCTAGTGCTAGTGCTAGTGCTAGGGGTAAAAAAAACAATAGGTTACTTTCCAATTATTCGGAACGAAGCGAAAGAAGATCAACAATGCTCGCGTGATGAAGTCAGCCTGTTCTTTAACGATGGAATTGGATATTAAATCGCAAATCTTTTTTATTTCAATATTTTAGATACGATTTGATAAGGAATTATATATCGTTATATATATATTTATATATATATATTTATTATTATATATTAAAGTTAGATTTTACAATTAGAGTTGGGGCTTAGATTAAAGTTAGAGGCTAACGTTTAGTCATTGACCATTTTTCTTTGTCTCTAAACACCGTTTTTGTAAAACAGCATGCTAGTAAATTTCACCTCCGGTGAGTACTAAATCATCCTTTTGTAATGCTTGTGCAATTTTATTAGTAAACTTTTTTTTATTGACCAGAATTCAAAATCTTGGAATTTTGATTATTCTGTTTATTCTTGGTTTGACTAATTTTATTATTATTATATTTTTTAATATAGTTACTAAAATTTTATTTAATAACAATTATTAATAAGAATTAATACAGTGTATATTTAATTGCTCTATATTTATAAAAATACAATTGATTATATTCAAAGTATATAGTAAAATTTAGAGTTCGATTTTTATTATTAAATAAAAAATTAAACTGTAGATTTATTATTGGATTTAATTTATATAATTTTAAAATTTTCGTGATCTAATAATCGGATCTACGTAATTTTGGTAATATTCGAATCAGCTTGCCAAAACGATTCGAATGGTACCAAAATTATGCAGATCCGAATATTAGATCACGAGAATTTTGGCCATAAAGTATACAGTAATATAATTTTAAAAATACAGTATTATAATATAAATATACAGTATATTAGAGAAAAATAAAATAAATAAATAAATAAAAAAAGAATTGACAATCATTTGTACCAAAATTTCAAGATGTTTTTTTTTTTTTTAAAAAAATATAATAAACTTTGGAACAGATAGTTCTATATTTAATTTTAATATTTTTATATTGTAGCATAGCAAACTATCCTTTTTACTATACTACTTGACTTAAGAGTAGGAAGTATGTAGATATAATTTTGGTAGTACAATAGATTTATATAGAAATTAATAATATGCTACTAATAAAACTTAATTGATAGTTCGCGGATAAATAAAAATAACAATAGGGGAGATTTTATAATAAAATATTGTTACAATGCTATGGCCTTCTTTGTAACTACATAGCACAGTAACAAGGTCACCCGGTGCAGGAATTCTGCTACTGGAATATACACAGGATGGAAGTGGAGTACAATTAAGTATCCACAGCAGAAGGTAAGCAGTTCGGTATTAGGATAGTGTATTTTAAACCTTTATTTTTATAGGACAAGAGGATAACCTCCTTTAGAGATCCTAAAGAGAGTTCTACATTACAAGAGAAAATTACAAGACTAATTCTACATGAGAGAGAGGTAATAGTTTCTAACTAGATACTTGTTAAAATCTATCTAAAACCTATTTTTACCAGAAGGGATTTATGCTTCCTTTATATACCTTTTACAGAATAGAAGAGGGACTTGAGAGAAATATAACATTGTACTTGAGGGAGTTGAGGGACATGCTTGAGTGAGTAGGAGGCCATGTTGAGGGAGTTGAAGACTGTGTTGAGGGAGTAGAGGAAGTTGAGGGAATTGAAGGCTGTGTTGAAGGACTTGAAGGTATAGTTGAAGGACTTGAGGACCATTTATAACTTTAGCCACATTATGTGCTACAGTGGCTTTAACTCTCTTATACATAATACAAATATAATAAATATTTAATATAAAATACAAATTAATAAATATAAACTAAATAATATAAAATATAGAATTTAAATTATATGCTACACTATGTTAATTTACAAAAACCTGTTTCATAACAATATAAGAATATAAAAATCATCTTTTTCATATAAATATACATGATTTTAAATTTAAATTACTTGCAACTTTTGATATATTAAACCAATTTTATCAATTTTACTACTATTAGAGTTACAAAAACTAGCTTATTAAAAGCTTATAAAAAATTAACTTAATAAAAAATTAACTTTATATTGTAAAAAAGAGTGATTTTTGTATTTTAATATATATATATAGTATATATGTTTTTATAAAAATTTACTATTAGTATTCTCATTTATTTACAAACTATTAATTAATTAATTTTAGCCAAAATTTTATAAAAATATAAGTAAAATAATTTACCTATTATAGTAAAATTTTGAACTATTATATTATTTAAAAAATATATACTTATCTGTATTACAAAGTTTTTCTAGGTTGGCTTAAAATTTTTTGGAAGTTAAAACACATAGTGGTATTATAGTAAATAGAACGAGATTGCAGACAAACTAGCAAAAGATAGTATAGCCTTAGGTAAAGAGTGGTCAATCTTTAGTCAAGTTTGGTCTAGATGGCCATTTAGTTTAAGATAGCAAAGTAAAAAAGTAGATTTTCCAATTAGATCTTTTATACTTCAGATTACTGGTATAAGAACAGAAAGTGTTTGGTATATGCAGAAGAAGGCCTATCTTTATAGTGAGAATAAGAAAGTTAAAAATCTAATATGGGGTAACTATTAGGAAAGATTTAAAGAAATTAGAGACATTAGATGTGACTCATTTGAAAAAAGTTAAAAATTAATTGGATATGTGAAGAATCTGTCACAACTATTTTCAACAAAGAGTGTTCTTTATAAAAGAAAACCTGAAGTGTACTTGGATTTATTATGTATCCTTTGTGATGAGAATAAAGTAGAAAATGTATATAATCTTATGTAATATCAAGCACTAGAGAAGATGTGAAGAGAGATCAAGAAGTTCAGTATTAGTCTTGTCTGGGTATCGATGAATGAAGTATATAGAGTAACTATGATGGTATATGATTTGTGGAAAGCTGTCTTTAGGTCAACTTGGGTTAAAAGAGTCAAGGTACACAGTTTTTTGTCAAAAGGCCTTTTTAGATACAGTATGCTGGCATAATAAAAAACAAAACAAAAGTATTAAAAATTCTAAAGGCAGCTAGCTTTGGTATGCAGGAATACTTTCATAGATTGGTATGAAGTGAAAGATGTAGAAAATTTATCACATGAGAAAAAGAAAACAATATCGGCTTTAAAAAACAACCAAAAAAGAAAGAAAAAAGAAAAAAAATCTATAGAAAGAAAAATATTAGACCTAGTCAGAGTAGTATTGACAAAAACTGATTTAGATCAAAAAAAAAAGTAAAGATATTAGAAGTAGATCCTTTGGTGGAGTCAGAAGTAAGATATTTGTCAAAGGTAGCAGTTAAGCAGAGAATTTTAAGTTCTAATTCACCAAGTTGGCAGACTAAAAAATTGTAAATATTTATAAGAGTTGAGCTCAGGCTAGATCATATCTTTAAATGTGTCATACCTAGAGATCCTATTCAGATAAATCTGCCATCTATTTATCTGTGTTATTAGATCCAGATATTTATCTGATTATATCAGATATTTAAAAAATTTATCCAGATTATTTGATATATCTGTAACAGATATTTAACAGATATCCAAACAGATATCCAAACAGATAAATATATTTAGAAACCTCTTGCATATTTTTATGTACCTCTTGTATAATTGTATATAATTGTGTATATTTTATGCATAATTATGAGATTATGCAAGGGGGTTTTCAAATAATGCCTTACATAATATTGCATTTCTTATATAGACAATCTGGATAGTCTATTGAATAACCAGATATTTATCTATTAATTTATTTTAACTATGACTAACTCTTTCTCTCCATCTATCACTCATACAAAATTTTTCTCAACTAACTTTTATTTTTATTAAGTAAACCTTACTTTTGTTCTTAAATAAATAGATTCTACTTATAAAAATATATATAATATTAAAGTTCCAAATCGCTAGTGCTTAAAACTATCAAAGGAAAGACCTTCTGGCCTTCAAATTACAAAACTGTAATTTATGGCAAAACTACTTTCATAACCTATTCTCCAAGCATAGAAAAAGTTCAAGAGATTATTTTTCCCGTTATAACAAGCTATAGCTCATATCTGTAGCATCAAAATTGACCAAGATATAATTAAATTACTTCTACAACCCCTCTCTTTTCTCTTTTCTTTTTTTTCTTTTTTTTTTGCAAAAAACCCTATAGACGTTTTTGTACAACCTATCCCAGCCCAAAATTGTGTTACCCACATTTTCTAATACTCTAAAATTAGTGGTTCTTCTCAAACAATCAAATTACAAATCAATTATACACAAATTATTAATCCAAATTATACAAAACAAATATTTACCTTTTTTGTAATTTATTAATTTACACAAACTACAGTACCTTTGTCTCACAAATTTGCCTAATTTGTGCCACACAATACCTGGCCTGACACGTGACTTGTCATGTGATCTGTGTAATATGTGACTTTATACTAGTGATTTAAGCTAGCTATAGCAGCCACGGCTAAGCTGGCTTAGCCGGCTGAGCCAGCCAATATAATATGATCGGCTGGCTAATGCAGCTAAAGATGATATGATTTAGTATATAGTAGGATTCTAGTAAATTCTGAAAAGAAAAATAAATAAACAAGCTAAATTTACCAAAATTTTCCAGATGTATGGTATTTAGCCAGCTGATTAGCTGAT